ACAGGTGGACAGTGGTGAAATGGGGGTGAATGTCGGCGCGTGCCAGGCTCGTAGTTGTATCTGGAATTCTGCAGGAATGTCCGACAAACTCTTCTCTTCTGGTCCTTTCTGCGGCATTTGGAAAATTGTGAATTTGTGATCCAAAAAATGAACTTCCTTTTTTTTTTTTTTTTTCTTTTTTTTCTTTGAATTTTAGGGAACCAAACAACTGGTTTTTTCTAGAGAGGAACAGAAAATGGAGGAAAATGGAGAGACATGTGTAGTGGTCAACATTCTATGCAGATAGAGGTGTTTGGCGCTCGGGAAAATGAAAATGAAAATGTTGGAAATGAAGAAAAAATGCAAGTAAAGTTTAAAACAATTTATTAATACACTTTTTCAAGAAAGAAAAAAGTACGTTTTTCATTTTTTAATAAGAAATTAAATTGTAATATTAAGGATATTTTTGTTAATATAGTAAATATTTTTATCAAATTTTGTTTTTATCCCATAATCAACCAAACCATATAACTGCACAGAGCCTTCGGATCAGTGACATCATATCATCTTTAAATGTATTTTTTTTTTTAAATAACGGTTGGTATTGAACCCTTAATAAATTATTTGAAAAAAAAAAACCATATAATTGAATTCTATTATTCCCCATCCAGTCTACCCCTTTCTAATTTTATCCTTCAAATTATATCATAGCCAATCAAATTCCGTACACAAAACGCGCTCTTATCTTCAACATTACTCAACTGTCAGTTTCTCGTTTTTAAGGACTCGACTCGTGGTTCTTTCTATATACTGTGTCGAAAAGCAGAGTAAGGGGGGAAAGATGGATATGTTGTTTATGTTGTGCTTTCTCTTAGTTCTCAGCTCGACAGCCGGAGCAGTTCCGGTCCCCTCGCCGGATCGATTTTTGAAATCAAACCTTCGTTCTTCTAGATCGAGCAAACCCCAAGAACACTTGGAACTGTCCTATCCGCTGCCGTCGGATCGGTTGACTCCATCATGTACCCTCACCATCATCCACCACTCCTTCGCCGACACCATGAATTCCCCTCCGTTTTCCACTCCCTACTCTCCACCTTTGGATTGCCCACCTCCCTGGTCCTCTGTCGCCGTCGAGCTTCGCGTTGAATCCAGCGGTGAACAGTATGATCGAATCTCCGGCTTGTGGCTTGGCGGTGTGGAGCTGCTCCGGACCAGTACGGCTGAGCCGACTGAGACCGGGATCTTCTGGAAAGTTCGGAAGGATGTCACTAGGTACTCCTCTATCCTCGCCAGATCCAACATCAACGTTACCATGATGCTCGAAAATATTGTCAACGATGTCTACACCGGCGTTTACCATGTGGATGTCTCTCTCTGGTTCTACAATGAGAGCGTCACTTCCGAGGCAGTCAGGGTCCCATCAATCGTCCGTCCAAACGATGTGGGGGTGATTAATCCCCAAAAATTCACATCTGGGTTTACTGATTCGCCGGCCGATTTGATAATTCCGATAAGTGACAACGGCGACAGAGGGTTCTGGTTTAGGGTCGAGAGTGAAACTGATGTACATGTGAAAAGCATTCGAATTCCACGCAATTCGCAACGGGCCGTCTTGGAGTTGTACGTATCCTTCCATGGGAACGATGAATTTTGGTACTCGAATCCGCCAAATTCTTACTTAGAAACGAATAATCTGACTACAGGGCGCGGAAACAGAGCTTACAGGGAGGTTTTCGTGACAATTGACGGGAAATTTGTGGGATCAGAAGTGCCGTTTCCTGTTCTATTCACCGGCGGGATTAATCCCTTGTTCTGGGAACCAGTGGTGGCAATTGGAGCCTTCAATTTGCCTTCCTACGATCTGGACTTGACTCCATTTCTGGGTCAGCTTCTGGATTCCAAGTTCCATGCATTCAGGATTGGTGTTGACGGTGGCATTTCCTTTTGGCTTCTGAATGCAAACCTTCACCTATGGTTGGATCATGGCTCGGAGAATGTTGAAGCAAAACCTGTTGTGTATGACAATCCTGCTCTTAGCATCGTGCTGACTGACGCCTTTAAGTTGCTTGATGGATCGTTTAGAATCAAAGCAGAGAAGAGAAGTCAGTTTGTGGGGTGGGTCAGTTCGAGCTCCGGTAATTTGACCACCATCGTCTCTCAGGAGATCAAGGTCAACAACTTAATAACATTCAGCAAGAATGGAACATACAAGGTTGTGAAAGAGAGAATAAAGGCAAAGAGAGGTACAAAGATTCACACTGATGCCGGCAATGTGATTGCCCATCTGGTTACCATAAGGAGATACCCTCTTACTGTAATCACTGCCACTCTTCCAGGGCTGAAGCATGATACGTCTTTGCTCGTCACGAATGTTTCTCACTCAATGAATGAGAGATGCGTCAACGGTGATTTATCAAGTTTTGTGTTTAACAGTCAGGATTCAAATGGATGGATGGAGATCAGGGATCACTCTGTTCTCTCCGGTGAAGCAACCACCATGCAAAGTTTCAATTTCAGGGATACTCTCGGCTGCTACTCTCGTACTGTGGCAGCACACAACGGCAGGTTGATAGTAGACAATACAACATTTTCTTGTGCAACTTCTACGTAGTTTCAAATGTTTCATCTTTTCTCCGCAAAATTTCCACTTTCCAGGCTTCCAAATAGTCTCTATATGTCAGCTTGTGCTTCTGGTGTGTAATTGCACAGTTTGCAATTATCAGTACAATTAACATCCTCCAGTTCCCCTGAATAGTATTCTTGCTTAAGCTTTTACGGTGCTTCTTTGAAATCATATTTCTAGGATTCATGGACACCCTTAAGAAAGAAGTATTACTCCCCAAGGAAAAGAAATCTCATAGTGGAACCAAAAAGTCCAAACCATGGCAAACGCAACAATCAATATGTATAAATCAAGCACGTTAAAGATACTTTTCCGCTTCCATATGACACAAAACTCTTACAATGTTGAAAAGTTGAATGATTGCGCCACTAAATTGATCAATAAAGGTTTGGTAAAATTGGCAAACTACAGTCCAGGAGAGAACATTACTGAAAAAGACAATGTATCGGCAAAAATACTGGTCACTATCAATTTTACTCCGTTATTCCAGGACCTGCACTCTCAACATCAATTTCTCCCATCCCCGTATCTTCCTCCTCTTCACTGTCTTCATCACCACTGACCTCTTCATTATCGTTACGCAGCTTAGCCATGTGCTCAGCAAGCAATTTATCATCCCGCTCACTCACCTATATTGATTGTACCATCATCATCAAGTCAGCCCATAAGGATAACAAGAAATTTTATCAAAAGCCAGCAAATGACAAAAAAAAAAAAAAGGAGGAAAAATGACATCAAATTCATAGAAAAATAGACATTTGAGAGATATTAGACAGACCTATACTCCACACTTAAGTACCTAAATTCAAAATAAGAAAATTGATACTCACCGCTCTTGGTGCCTCCTTAACGATTAGTTTACCCTTGTTCTCCTCTATTGCTTGAGTACAAGCTGCAATTGCATTATTGAGAATAGCTATTCCTTGATCCTGCTCAACACATCAAAGAGAAATAATTTCACAAATATGCAACAGCATTTGCAACATTAACAGAAGTCTTCAAGAAGATCAACAACAAAGACCAGAACAGCTTAAGTTTTGCAAGAATCATCAATCATACAAAGAGACCAAAACCAAAAACTCATACGATGACAATCCATAGCTGTTTCTCATTCTGCATACAAGTTGAATCTAATCTGCATTTCTTGACACGGGATATCTCAAGTCTCAACAATATAAATTCAATAATTTCTTAGGGGTATCAGTTGCTGTCCTTGAATTGCACCATTTATTACACAATTATGTCTGTTGTCCTTGGCAAAACAATCAAAGTTCTTAAGACAGCTTTTAAATGCAACCCACAAAGTTAAAAAGTACCATGCAAAAACATGTGGTTGCTTCCAAAAAAAAGGGGGATCAAAAGGAAGTTGGCAGTGAAAGGACAGGTAAAGAACAGGCTCAATTGAAAAGAGATCGTGTATGAACCTTGTCAAGAGTCTGAGTGGTAAGAACATAAAGTGGAGGGGCAACCAATTTTATTTTAACAGGGCAATCATCGTTCCCAGCAGCCTCAGCTTTCCGCATGGC